CTTTGAAGGGTTTAGGGTTTAGGGTTTAGGGGTTAGGGTTTAGGGCTCAGGGTTGAGGGCTTGGGGCTTGGGGTTTAGGGTTTAGGGTTCAGGGCTTAGGGTTTAGGATTTAGGGTTTAGGGCTTAGGCTTATGGTTAAGGGTTTAGGCTTATGGTTTAGGGCACATTTTTAGACTTGTCAGTATCATAACCACAATTTAAATCCCAGGGTCCTTCTAGGTCTACTTACCACCTACTTACTAATTCCCCTGACCCTATGGAAGGTCGGCGAAGGTCTTGCAAGTCTTTCGAGACCAACACCGACGATCGGGGATACTTGTGCATCGCCCGGTCTAAACCCTAAACCCTAAACCCCTAAACCCTAAACCCAAAACCTCTAAACCCCTAAACCCTGAACCCAAAACAAAGGAGGGCTCCCAAGCCGCAACCGACTCCGCGTCATCCAGCAGGCCTCGATGTCGCGATACTGTCCCAAAGGGTCCTAGGTACTGTTATGGGGGCTACTTCCCCAACTCATAATAGTAGTTCCTATGATAGAAGCCCTACATTCTACTATATAGGTACTTAGGACCCTTTGGGTGTCTGTCCAGGTGTCTCCCCAGCTCCCAAATGGCGGCCAACCGCAGTCGATCAAGGCCCTCTGTGGGTCTGAAGTTTCAGGTGTCTTTCTGATCCCTTCGAGCCATAGCCTGAGCTCTGCGATCCACACCTCTTTTTGTGGGTCTGCGTAACAGCGCTTGTGTTTACAGCCTGTACAGCATTTGTTGTGTTGCGTGGTAAAATGTAGTTCTCCAAACCTGAGCTAGGCGGAAAAAGACAGCCCTTCCAGTCCTCCAAACCATGTGGTAGGACTTAGGGCAACATAAGTGCAGATTACGCGATCCCAATGTCCCAGAATTTCGTTTCGATCCTGCGCCTGCTACAGCAATGCCGGGATCCGAGCCCAGAAGCACTTCCGAATCGCCAAACCTTCGCTTCGGGCTCTTGGGTTCAAGCAGCTTGGGGTTTAAGGCTGAGGTTTAGGAGTTTAGGATTTAAAGGAGTTGCCCCCAAGCCCAAACCCTGATGCGCTCATACCTACAGCATCCTGAATCTTGTACCGGTTGGGGGCATGCCGGTTGATGGTCTCAGCACTTGCGGGCCCGACGGTGCGAAGATTCGGAGAATTGGGATTTGGGACTGCGGGTGACTGAGACTTCTGTAGCTTTTTATTCTGTGTTCTTCAAGGGAGAGATGCAACTACATAGGAAAAGGCATCCGACACGAAGGTTGGAAGGACCTCCAGACCCTAAGACCTATATGCCCTAATACGCCAGAAGGTACATGCCTTCTTTTCTCAGGCTCGTGTCTGTCTCGAGCTTTTACTAACATCACTGCGCCTGCAGCCACACGAGCCTGCCCCCCAGGTTAACCACCAAAGCCTGGCAGTAGAGACGACGCTTGTCTCCGAAATCCTATTCTAATCATGTTGGCCACATCCTGACATAGATCCTTTTAGGGGCTGAGTACCCTAGCCCAAAACGGGTTAACCTGTTTGATGGTATGACCATATGAATCCCAAAAGGTAAAAGGTTACCGGCTCAGACATTTTTTAAGTCCTAAAACAGGCTTGGGCCTTAGCTCTGAAGTCGAACCACCCGCTGGGTTGATCTGCTTCTGTGCTCCAGGCACCGCGGCAAACTTTAGACGATAGCCTCGAATAGCTGGGAGGCTCAATGACAAGGGTTTAGGTTTTAGGCTTGTCTCTGTTGTGCTTCCTGTTCTTGTGTTAGGGTTTAGGGTTTAGGGTAACGCAGTGAATATTACGTGTCGTACACAAGGCCTTCGCTGATCCTTCGGACTTGTCCTTATGATTGTTCTACTATATTCTGAGCTCCTGCTCTTGCCCATGCAGTTGGTCCGCCTTCGGCTCCAATTCCTCCTCCTCCTCCTGCTCCTGCCAGATGCCTGCAGCTGAAGCTAGCCCTGGACATACTTGGGTGATTCGGAATATTTTTCGGGGCATGCAGGGTTCAAGCTTGAGACATACGAGGTTTACCGGGTAGCTCAAGCTGGCAGACGGGCAAAAGCTCCAAACTTGGCAGGTTCTACACATCTGGCCCATCCCCGAAGAAGCAGCACTGTAGTCAAAGAGGAATATCAACAGACTCGGTCCGAGCAGCCTGCATCACGCAGCCTTTGTATCGTAGCCTTTGTAGCCTCGGGCACAAGACGTGTGGAAAGCCCATGCGCAGGCAAACATCCGAGCTGTGAAGCTAGGCGTGTTCCTTAACCACTGTGGCTTGTTGTTGCCTTTGCATCGCTTAGCCTTGGCGTTAACCGTTGTTTTCTTCCTTCCCCTTCTCTCTTCTGATACCCTACTATACTGCCGCTGCTACAGTACTTGGCTATCGTGGCTGCGACTGCGGCTGCTACTGCTGCTGCTTCTACTGCGACTGCTACTGAACTGCTATCACTGCACACAAGCCGGAAGCCTACACCAAAAAGAACAAAGCGACCAAGACCCTAAAACCCCAAACCCCTGAACCCTAAACCCTATACGCCCTAAACCCTTAAACTCTAAAACCCTAAACTGTAACTTCCAAAAATCCCTAAACCCTAAACCCTAAATCCCCAATCCCAAAGCCCAACCCCTTAAGCCCAAATCCTTAAACAGTCACCAAGACCCAGGCTGCAAAGTTTGAGCCGGTGTCCGGTATGATGAGGTTGGCTGAGCTCCTGCTTTCGGGCTTTGGGACTTTGGGGCTCAGGACTTCGGGGTTTGGGGTTTAGGAGTTTAGGGTTTAGGGTTTAGGGTTTGGGGTTTAGGACTTAAAGTT